CTAACTTCGTTTCCAATATAGTTAAAGAGGTCAATTTTTTTTTAAAATTTGCGTAAAAATGCAAGGAACAAGATGCCGAAATTCGATTTGACTTACGACTTCTGGTTCGGCAGATAAGTCAATTTGTTTATAAGAATTTTCGTACACATTTATATCTGGTGTTTATTTTTCATGTCTTTATGAAAAAATTATTGTTTTTATTGTTGCAAATTGACTGGGAGGTCTCTACCTTTAATTTGCGCTGTGTCTGGTCTTCGTACGTTGAGCCAACTCAAAGTTATTTAACAATCACTAGGGGAGTGTTTTTTAATAAACAAATGCAATATCTCGATAAATAATGCACTTAGCGAGATTTTGAAAAATGCATTGGATTCTGCGTAACGAGGGCTACATTTTCTCAAGATTTCATTGCCGTAGCACGTTTTAATAAATAATTATAAACAATTGTAAAAACGGCCACTTTTAGAGGTTTTTTCGACCTAGAGAATAAACAAATGGACGAAAAAATATGAAAAAAATACCAGAATAAAGGTCTTGAAAATGCCTACAACTTTTGTTTGAAACATTTTATCGTAAAACTTATACTTTACGAGTTAAAAAATATAATATGCTTTTTTGCATTTTTAAAGGCTTATAAACAAAAACGCAGGAACAAAAAACAGTGGCATTTTATGAAAATTAGTTGTTTAGGGTACCCAAAATAAGAATCCGTCGTAAAATTCTGGTTGCGAATTTTTTTTTTTTAACATAGGGACAGATTTTCATTGATTGGACTAATATTGCCCAGACGTGACTCAATCGAATTCGTCTCGAATCTCGATAACGTAATAATATTGCGGTCGTACCATATCGCGGAGGACTGCGCTGCGAAGCTGGCAGTGCCGAGCCACACGTCGAGTCGCGCAGTTCAGATGCGCGTTACGCTTACGACGCCGCCTTTACGAGTAAATCAAAGAAGCATCGCGTCGTCCGATGCCAGTGATTCCCGTGCGAGAAGTGTATAGTTCGCAGTTGCCCGTCGTTACGACGCTGTAGAGCGCAAACAACAAAGAAGGATCACATCGACTGCAGTAACTATCGGTGACTCATTTTAAAAGAAATCTGATCTAGTGTACTTTTGTGTGATTGAGTACAACGCGCGATCAGTAGTACAGCGCCACAAGTCGATTCGTCCAGTTCAGTTACAAACTATATAGGACGCCGCAGTGTAAACGACGCAAAATCGCATCGTCTGTAGACAGTGATTATAGTGCAAGTGTGCGTATAACGATGAGCGAATCCGAAGATGATTTTTATGAAAGCTGTGACAGTGAGGATTCGTATTATAAAAAACTCGGAACCGGCAGAAACGACTTCTCATTCAATAACGGCACGAAAAGGTCCCAAGATGAGTGGAAAAAATTGAAAACAATGCGAGAAGAGGCCGATTGGAAGAATAAAGAAGAGCGGCGCAAACTTCTCCGTCAACTTACATCCCTAATCAAAAATTGGAAGGGCCCACTACCAGATTTTCGAGACATCTTTCGTAGCAAAGAGATGGATTGGTTTCTCATCGAGCTCCTGGACAGAATGTCAGATGTCTACGATACTTCTTCGATATATCCACTGATGAGGTTCATGGCTCGCGCCGGCTACAAGGACGAGCCGGACGTGCTGGACGAAGACGGCGCGCCATCGTTGCGTCGCACCACACCGGTGCATCGTGCGGCCAGACTCGAATACAGACCGATCGTACGCAAACTGTTTCGATTCTACGACAGATTCGACGCGAATTACACCGACGAAGCCGGATACACGCATTTTCACGCGGCCTGTGAGTTCGGCTGTTACAGGGCTACTAGAAAATTTCTCGAGCTCGGGCAAAATCCCAATTCCGTGTGGCGAGTAACGGGTGATTCGCCGCTGCACTTGGCTCTGGCCAGCGGCAAGCAGGTATTCGAATTGCTACTGAGAAGCGGCGCCAACTGTCATTTGGCCAATCACAAAGGAGAAACTCCTCTGCACATTTTTTGCAAAATTAAAGAACATGATAACGATTGCTCGTTAAGGATATTCAGTAGCTACAACATTATAAATAAATATGAGTGCGACGCCGTGGACAAGCGGGGTCGGACACCGCTACACTATGCTCTGGTACACAGCAGTGGCCAGCACGTCGTTGTCCGCTGGCTGCTGGAAAACGGCGCCGCTCCAAATTCTCCCGATGCAAATGGATCGACTCCTTTGCATGTTATTTGCAAGCGACAAAACGCCGATAACTTGGCGAAGATATTCTTTGACATCAATGATGCAAAACATCAGCAGATTATACTCAACGTCCAGGACAAATGTGGTCGGACACCGCTGCACTGGGCTCTCCATCATGGCTTGAGGCTCATTGTCGAATTGCTGATCAAAAGAGGTGCCAACTCAAATGTGGTCGACAAGGACGGATCGACTTCGCTGCACATAATTTGCAAGAGATACCGCGACGACGACTTGGCGAAGATATTTTTTAACATCAACGAAGAAGTCAATCAGCCGGTGCCAATGAATGCTGTGGACAATTTGGGCCGGACACCCCTTCAATGGGCAGTGGCGAATCTTTTAAAGAATGTGGTTGTTATCCTGTTGGAACGAGGGGCTGATCTGTCAAGCTTCGTTTTTCCCAACCAAACTTACTTCGCCGCGATGTATCCACTCAACTACTTCGGGTATGCGCCGAGACTTGTCTCTGATCCGCTGGCTATCGTCGAGTGCTTGAAGAAAAACGGGTTTGAAATTGGTCTGAGCGAAGCCTTGATAATTATGAAATTTTTCAAACGCATTGGAAAGAACACTGTTAACAGATACTGTAAGGTGTGTGCGGCTGATGACGAGTCAACAGAACCGTCCTGTAACGAGCATAAATCTATGATATTGTCAAGGAGATTTTTCCGGCGATGGGGGCTGGAATTTTTGTTGATGCGGACACACCATAAGCTACCAATTCTCTGCTGTGAAAAAATCATAGATCTGCTCTCGAACGATGATGTGTTGATGATGTGCACTGCATACAAAGAGATGTTACAAGAACAAAACTAAACGCATGCTGTTTATGGTAATATATTTTCACACTTCTTTTATTTTTTATAATATTCTTACTGATTTAACATTTTTTATTAACTTTTTTTCTAGTTGACAAGTTCGAGAAATTGAAAAATTGGTGCTAACTGAATAATTGAAAACAATTACAACAGTTTGAGTTTATTATTTAAAAAAAAAAAAAAATTATTATACATCATTAAAGCAATCCATAACATTTGGATAACATTTTACTAACGCAAAACCTGTAAGCTATAAATACCTCTGGCATATATGCAGAAAATAGGCTAGACGATCTATTAGGACAAAAAATTATATATGGCTAGCCGTTAATAAGCAATGTTAAATTGACAAATCAGCCTGCGCGAGCTCGTTTCTCAGTTACTAATTCTTAATTGATATGGTAAAACTTCAGTCTACTAAAAGCGTGAAGCTATGAATTATCATGCTTGTTTAAAAACTTCACTTCTCGCTGTATGTCATAAACTTAATGTGTACATCTTTGTTTCAGTCCAAGACTCGGTATATGCCATAAAGCTTTCGATGCAAGACGTGCGCATTTAAGCACTCCAAAATGCAAAAAAAACATGATTATAAACACTAATAGCAAATAAATTTTGTTGTTGTTGACTGTCAGATGATTTTCTATAGTCTTAAGTTTTTAACAATGAGAATGTTACAATAAAACTAATCTGTGAGAATAGCATACTTTTGATATTTACACATTGTTTTATGTGATGATTGCAGATTTTCCATGTCAAAATAAATTAATAATTGAAAAAATTAATACAGACTTTGATTTATGAAATCATTAAATTACAGCCTCGCTAATGAAAAATTGAAATATTTATTTTTGTGATAGTTTTTATTTATTTGTATTACCATGAGTCGTTCAGTTCAGTGTTTCATCGATTTTTTTGTTCTTATTCTCAAAGTTTATCGATTATATTTTGCAATTCAATGACTATCATGAAAAGAATAATTAATGCTCTTTACTCAAAACCTCTGGATTTTTTTTCAAAACGATAATGTAGTATTACGATTTTAATGTTTATTACAGTGGCGATAATTATTACGGTATAACTATTAACACGAAATAATACTTGATACAGTTCGCAAAGTTTTTTATTTTCTTTTTCATTCAGACTCTTTAATAAAAAAATTATCTTATTGATTCATAACTTTTTATGGTTATTATTTAATGGTATATCAAATAAAATTAAGCTTAACATAAAAGTTTCAAACGCTCATCTATACATTGTTTTCGAATTTTATTATGATATACTCTAAGTTTAAATCAGTTTTTTTCGGCGTTAATTTAAGGTGGTCCTAAAGAATTTGAAAAACAGATATTTTTGCTAAAATATCGAGGATATGCTTTTTTGGTTCAACTAAAAACGAAACAAACGATGGAGTTGTCACACTTATAATTGAGAAAATGAATAAAAAGTCAATGTAATTTTAGGTTATTCGATTTTTTGAAACTTTTAATCTTGAACAATAATTAAAAGAATTAAATGTTGTAAAAACCCAATGCACACACATTTTTTTGAAAGCAAAAAGATTTTAAAATGTAAAAGTTATTAATGAAATGAATAACTCCTTCTCAAATATAGGATAAAAACAATGGGTCGGATTTAGATAATTGTTTTAAAAAATATTGACTCGGTTCATTATTCCGTTGATTCGATCGTACATCACTTCAACAGTATTAAATAGTATCAATATTAAATAGTATCAATATTACACTAATTATAATGCATCGTAGCTCGCGAAATAAGAAATCAAAGAGAGGAAGAAATTGATTTTCGTAACGGCACTTACTTTCAAATTTTCCCCACCCAATATTATATATCTCTCACTACTCCTTGTAATGATATTTATTTATAAGGGAAATGAGAATCATTCCTTTTCATAAATTGGTATGACGTATACTACACACGTGCGCAAGTTTAAGCCCATTTATGCTGCAAATCGAGTCTCGAGTCTTGAATTTTAAAAAAGAAGCGGAAAATCTATTCACGTATTCGGATTGCTAGAAGTTTGCTTTGATCCAAGAATATTGGTATCATTCGTATCAAAAAGAGCATAGAACGGCTAGTGTTATCTATCTATGCGAGTTAGTATCGATTGGTTTCTTATCGAGTTGGTAAGAACTCATCGTTGTACAAAACTGTCTACGCTCAGTCGCTATTAATCGTTTCCTGCTGTAAGAAGTGTTTACAAATAATATCCGTTCACGTTTATTGGTGAAAATAAGATACGAGGTTGGCTACTCGAGGCATCTAATTTTGAATAATTTTAAGATAAATTATAGTAACGAAGCGATGGAAAGCAGAAAGGATTTAGTTAGGTATACACTTTTTCATGCTTGCCAAAGATATATTTTTAAACGATCGTTTCTTTAGCATTAAAGAGGAGCCTCGTGACAATTGGGAAGATGTTGCCAACGAGAGTGTCGATCCGGGGGTCTCGGTCAAAACCGAAAACTCTGATGAATCATCGGTAAGATCTATCTTTTGAAATTATGATCAGATTTGCTCCATAAAAAAACTATAACACAATTTTAATTTTAGGCAAATCCCACCAATGACTGTATTTCGTCGCAGCAGAAGGAAGATGAGGATATTCTGATAGATTGCGAGAGCGTATTGGTAAAACAGGAACATAAGCCCTCATTGACGACCATCTGCCAACCTACTGTAAAGGAAGAAGATCCGACAAATGACTCGAATGGAAAGAGGCTTACAATTTTAAATAAAAAAGGATCCGATTGCGATAATAACAGTCAATTTACGGTGGGAGAAGAATCGAGTTCAACAAGACAAATAGAAACGACGAATAAGGACGATGGATCACATGAATTAGAAATTTGCAAAACCGAAAACTCTGATGAATCATCGACGAATGAATCATCGGTAAGATCTATCTTTTAAAATTATGTTCTGATTTGCTCCATAAAAAAACTATAACACAATTTTAATTTTAGGCAAATCCCACCAATGACTGTATTTCGTCGCAGCAGAAGGAAGATGAGGATATTCTGATAGATTGCGAGAGCGTATTGGTAAAACAGGAACATAAGCCCTTATTGACGACCATCTGCCAACCTACTGTAAAGGAAGAAAATCCAGCAAATGACTCGAATGGAAAGAAGCTTACAATTTTAATTAAAAAAGAATTCAATTACGATAGTAATCGTAAATTTACCAGAGAAGAAGCGACTTCAGCCCGACAAATGAAAACGACACACAAGGGCAGTAGACCTCTTGAATGTGAAATTTGTCACAAATCGTTTAGATCCCTATATAAACTTAAAAGGCACGTGAATCAAGTACATGATAAAAACAAACCCTTCCAGTGTAACATTTGTCACAAATCATTTTCAGACAAGGGTGATCTAAATAGACATACAAGGACAGTACACGATCGTAGCAAACCTTTTGAGTGTGAGATTTGTCACAAATCATTTGGACGAAAATATTCCCTCACTACACATGTAGATACTTTACATAATCAGAGCAAACCCTTTGAGTGTGAGATTTGTCACAAATCATTTGCAGTAAAAGGTAACCTCACATTTCACATAAATTCAGTACATAATCAGAGCAAACCCTTTGAGTGTGAGATTTGTCACAAATCATTTGGACTAAAACATCACCTTACTAGACATGTAAATACAGTACATAATCGGAGCAAACCTTTTGAGTGTGAGATTTGTCACAAATCATTTGGACAAAAACAAATCCTCAAATTTCACACGACTGCAGTACATTTGCGGAGGAAACCCTTTGAGTGTGACATTTGTCAAAAATCATTTTCAGTAAAAAGTAACCTCACATTTCACATAAAATCAGTACATAATCAGAGCAAACCCTTTGAGTGTGATACTTGTCACAAATCATTTGGATACAAAATCAGCCTCGAAACACATATGAGTGCAGTACATATGAGTAGGAAACCTTTTGAGTGTGATATTTGTCACGAATCATTTGGATACCAGAGTGTACTCAAATATCACTTAAAATCAACTCATGAACGGAGAAAATTTGAATGTAAGACTTGTCACAAGTCATTTAGTACCAAGAAGAGTCTCGAAAATCACATTAATACAGTACATAAGGAAAGCAAATCTTAGAAATATGGAATTTATTTAAAATATCCGCTATGTAATTTTAGACAATCATTGTCATGAACAATGAAGCTTTTTAAACTGTTATTCATTTCGACGTGCCAGTGCTGAAAGATGCCACTTCACTGAGCAGACAAGAAAAATGCCATGTCGCGCTCCGGGTAGAAAGATGCCATTTCCCGCTCGATTCTGAAGGATGGTTTTTTCTGCGTTCGAAGTTACACCATATTCATGTTTCATGTTTTAGAAGTAAAATTGGATGCTATTCCAGAATCTGTCGCTGGAATAAAAATAATAGTTAAAGTTGAAGCTTCAAACGCAGAAATACCGAATGCCGAAGCGGCATCTTTCAGCCCTGGCACGTCGATTTGGTCGTCACTGTAAAAATCTTTTATTATTCTTTCAAACACGAATTAAAATATCAATACGGTTTCGCGTGAATTTGTTCTTTGAAATACCGTTGTTTTCAAAAAACGAACTTTCAACATCCTATTTAATAGCTGAATTTTTTTTCCAAGTAACTGTTTATCAGAAAATCTTGAATTATTTTGACCAGCCTCCCAAAATCAATTATATATATCAATTATATTATACCTCTGTGTAGCGTATTCTTTGTTAATTAAATGACTAAAGATTTTTCTGAACTAAAATCGTATTTGACTCGTACTTATATTCGTTGATAATTAAATCTAGTATAGAAATAAAATAAAGAAAGTTTCGAAATATAATACAAGTATAATTATGAAAAATGTTTAATCAAAAAGAAAAATTATGTAACAGAAAAAATGTACAAATTTTTGAATCGTTCGATAAATTTTGGTCTACATATCTGCTGCTCAAACTTATTGTCAATTGTTTATTTTTATCATTAATACGTTGAAATAAAACCTACTTTGCATTTGATCACTTCATGTTTTAGTTTTTCTTATACTTTCACGTTGCTTCGAATGAAATATCATAACGGAGTGTTGATCCTTGATAGTTTGAACTGCAACCTATTTTATCGTAGAAAAATTACGAAAATCATCAAAAGCGAATGTCTTTAGCCTAACTTGAGCTTGAATGAACAGCAAGTTCGAATAGCTTCGAATCTATTCCAGTTGAGTGACAATTACGCGCCATTCGCATAAATTGGCCAGTGCGCAGCGCCGTCCTGCATCGCTGACCGATGAAAAAAGCGTCAGATTCAGCATGGAATTAATTCCGCAAAAAAATAAATATCAAACGTTAGTCAACTCAAAACGTTACACATGGTGTTGTGTTGTGTTTACATGATTGCTCAGGCGCTTGGCTCTACTCATTTCGGGAACGTGACGGGTATAAGAGAAAGACGCAAGTAGTAATTTTAGTTTTGTTCAGAACACGATATGATCTTGTAAGGATCACAAGTGGTAAAATCATCAGGGATTGTAAATTTGTGTGGGCGGTTTAATCATTGATAACGATCAATATAGCATCAGTATAACGATGTTCACCCATCGTTTCTTTGAAACGTCAACGGATGCCGAAGACATGGAAGAGTTAAGCCAAGTCTATTTGGCAAAACTGAAGAGTTTACAAGAAGAGTTTAATTGAGAGAACGAACAGGACAGATATTCATTTTACTTCCGTCTTACACTGTTGCTGCAAGATTGGAAAGGCAACCTTCCGAATTTACGAGACTTTTTTCGAGGCGAAGAAATCGATTATTTACTCTTGGAGGCCGTAAAAAAGAGGAAGGAAGAATTAATCAACTTTGTGGTCCGCAACGGTTGCAGGGACGAGCCCGAGTTAAAGCCGAGTTGGCAAGCCGTCGTCACTGCGTCGAACCACTGCACTACATCGTGCTGATGGACTTGAATTATTCTGCATCGTCCATGATTTATTCAAAATATACAACAGATTTAATTAGAATTACACCGACGAATCTGGATACACACATTTCCACGTGGTCTGCAAGTACGGCCTCGACGATGTAGTTAAGGAATTCCTCGAGCTCGGACAGGATCCCAATTGCATCGTACCAGAAACAGGTGACTCGCCACTACACTTGGTTCTGAATCAGGACTTTCGGGTCAAGAAGCTGATGGAGTTGCTGCTGAGACACGGTGCCGACCCGAATTCGGCCAATAAGGAGGGATTGACACCTTCGCACATAATTAGCGAGAATTTCAATTCTCGATTGATGAAGACATTTTTCGAAATCACCGATGCGAATCATCTAACGATACAGATCGACGCGAAGGACAAGTTGGGTCGTACACCTATTCAATTAGCTGTAGCGAGTCTCAGTCCAGATGTTGTCGATGTATTTTTGAATCGTGGCGCCAATATGAATTTCGCATATAAGGAGGGATTGACACCTTTGCACTTAATTTGCAAGAAGTGTGAAAATGTTCAATGGATAAAGACATTTTTCGAGATCATCGATGCAAATAATCTAACGATAGAGATCGACGCAAAAGACAAGTTGGGTCGGACACCCCTTCGATGGGCCCCGGCGAGTCTCTTGCCCGACGCGGTCGAGATACTGTTGAATCGCGGCGCCGATCTGTCGAGCTTCGTTTTTCCCACCGTGAGTTACTTCGGCGAGGCATTCGAAGCGGTCAATAGTAGGATCGATTTAAAATTGAAACTAGCGTCCGGTGCCGTGGCGGTCGTCCATCGTCTCGAAAAAAGAGGATATGAAGACCGGTTACAAGGACAAGACTCAAATTGACAACGACGGCAAACCGATACTGCGTCGTAGCACGGCGATTCATTTCGCGGCTAAAAACGGTTACAACCTCGTCGCTCCTCTCCTCTTCAAAATATACGACAGTTTCAACGCGAACTAGGACGATTCCGCCGATGGCCTGACGCACTTTCACGCGACTTGCGCGTTCGCCTACGAAAAAATCGTCGAGAAGTTTCTCGAGGCAGGCCAGGATCCCAACTGTCCGCTTTCCGACGATCCGCCCTTACACTTGGCTCTCAAGCACGAACACAAGAAGGTGGTCGAGGTGCTGCTGAGACGCGGCGCCAATCCCAATTCCACGAGTAGGTCGGGGCAGAAATCGCTGCAAATAGCCGTGGCGAATCTCGCCCCGGATTCGGTCAAGCTGCTGTTGGATCACGGCGCCGATCTGGCCGACTTCGCTTTCCCCGCGGAGAGTCAATTAAACGAGCGGCTCGCGACTGTCACGAGCAAAGGGCACAGTACGAAGCTGGAAGTAGCTTCTCTGATTATGATGATCGTCGAGCACCTTGAGAGACGAGGATACGCATACGCACCGAACCGAAGTGACGTGCTGACGATCGTTAAACTTTTATCAAAGCACGAATGGTTCAACAAGTTCAGTATTGAATATTGGCTCAGCAACGCAGACTTCGTGATCAAGGCGAAGGAGTTGAAGATGAAGCCGAGCCTGTCGCTCTACGACTTCGTTCGTCTGCCAGCGGAACAGGCGACGAAATTAGTCACTTATAAGGAGTACTTCAAGTTCGTGCAGAAGTCCAGTTATCGTTCACTAACAGAACCTCTCGGCCAGACGTGCTCGGCATACATCTTCGAAATTATGTTGAATGGATTTTGCCGCCGATGGGCCAAGGCATTTGCCGTGTCATTAGAGGATTCATCTTGTGAAGACATTATAAAGAACATATGCTCGGCAGCAAAAACCATTGCATAAATGAAACAACGAGGCCCAAACGCATGATGCCGTTAGCAAAGGTATTTTCATCAATTATTGTCTAAATTCTGTAAATAATAGTTTTCTTTGAATCTTTTTCTTTATTTTATTTTCTAGGCAAAGCAAGGTAATACACGAAGAATTATTAACAATGTTGAAATATTTTTGTAAGTGTGCACAATTAACATTATGTATAAAATAAAAATTTTAGACAGTTAACATATAGTTAAGAATGTAATTAATAATGATATGAATCGTAAACTTTAAGTTACAAAATGAAAGCATCGTGTTGAATTTAAAAAATAAACTGAAATATCTTACTTAGCGTCTATTGTATAAGAGAAACTTTATTCAGTCATGCACATCAAAGCACATTGGCTAAATGATTGTTATTGCTGATATATCACACAATGATAAATTAGTCAGCCTATATTAGAAGATTGCCGCAAAATATGCACTGAATATAACATTTACAGGCAAATGCAAAGCATACTTTTTAAAAGTGTGCTTTGCTTCATATTTTAGTACAGACTGTGATAAGTCTTTAGCTTAATTTCTGCCACAAGCCTTTTTATCTAACACTGAGTTTTATGGTCTAATAAAACTTCCTTATTTTCCAATTTAGCAAATTTTCCTTACCATGAAAATAATTTAATTTTTTGAAAAAATTGGCATCGATTTTAAAATTCAAATACTGACAAACATCAAAATAAAAACTCTCAAATTATCATGATTGAAAACTTGAAAATTTTGCCATGAGTGAAAGCTTGAAAATTTTCTCATTTCATATACCATTATTTGCTCTAAAAAAGTTTTCAGCACAAAAACAGTACAAATTACATCCGCTGCGTAAACATTTTTAATTTTTCATAAATTCATAAAATTTTAACGCCAAAATTTTCCCCACCCAATATTATATAACTCTCACTACTCCTTGTAATGATATTTATTTATGAGGGAAATAAGAATCATTCCTCTCCATAAATTGGTATGACGTATACTACACACGTACGCAAGTCTAAGCTCATTTATGCTGCAAATCGAGTCTCGAGTCTCGAATTTTAAGGTAGTTCCCTCAAAAAAATGACTATCGATAAAGGGTCTTGAAATTTTAACCACATATTATTGACAATGCTTTTCATATGTGTGAGAAATTTCAGGAACTTTAACCAAACCATTTCCGAAATATAATTAATCGAAGTTCAATACTTTAACATGGGATCCCTATGCTAGTGTGTCGAAAAGACGCTATTTTGTGTGATTATAAAAAAACGCATCGATAAAATCTTTTCAAAAACTAGGAGATGATTGTTCAGTATGTACTGAAACATAGCTCAAAAACTGGAAAAACTTGACCAAACAGTTTTTGAGAAAAGTTAATGTAAAAACATTACAAAAATAAAAATTTAAACTTTTTGACCTGAAACCAACTCTTTAAGGTTTTTAGGGTCATTTTAAACAAAAAAGTGCTCTTGCAAATTTTCTCTAAAATCTATTGTTCACGAGCTATAAACGATTCAAATTTCAATAATTTTAAGCAATGAATCTTTGCGATTTTTTATCTCAATAAGTATCAACTCTACGAAAAATTTTAAAAGAACAAAAAAGGCTTAGAATTTGCCAAGGAAAGCGTATGAATTTTTTCAGATTTTTTCTAGACATATGCCCAAATTTGTCGGTCAGGTCTGAGGGAACTACCTTAAAAAGGAGGCGAAAAAACTTTTCACGTATTCGGATTGCTAGAAGTTTGCTTTGATCCAAGAATATTGGTATCATTCGTATCAAAAAGAGCATAGAACGGCTAGTGTTATCTATCTATGCGAGTTAGTATCGATTGGTTTCTTACCGAGTTGGCAAAAACTCATCGTTATACAACTCATCGTTGTACAAAACTGTCTACGCTCAGTCGCTATTGATCGTTTCCTGCTGTAAGAAGTGTTTACAAATAATATCCGTACACGTTTGTTGGTGAAAATAAGATACGGTGTTGGCTACTCGAGGCATCTAATTTTGAATAATTTCAAGATGAATTATAGTAACGAAGCGATGGAAAGCAGAAAGGATTTAGTTAGGTATACACTTTTTCATGCTTGCCAAAGATATATTTTTAAACGATCGTTTCTTTAGCATTAAAGAGGAGCCTCGTGACAATTGGGAAGATGTTGCCAACGAGAGTGTCGATCCGGGGGTCTCGGTCAAAACCGAAAACTTTGATGAATCATCGGTAAGATCTATCTTTTGAAATTATGATCAGATTTGCTCCATAAAAAAACGATAACATAATTTTAATTTTAGGCAAATCCCACCAATGACTGTATTTCGTCGCAGCAGAAGGAAGATGAGGATATTCTGATAGATTGCGAGAGCGTATTGGTAAAACAGGAACATAAGCCCTCATTGACGACCATCTGCCAACCTACTGTAAAGGAAGAAGATCCGACAAATGACTCGAATGGAAAGAAGCTTACAATTTTAATTAAAAAAGAATTCAATTACGATAGTAATCGTAAATTTACCAGAGAAGAAGCGACTTCAGCCCGACAAATGAAAACGACACACAAGGGCAGTAGATCTCTTGAATGTGAAATTTGTCACAAATCGTTTGGATCCCTATATGCACTTAAAAGGCACGTGAATCAAGTACATGATAAAAACAAACCCTTCCAGTGTAACATTTGTCACAAATCATTTTCATACAAGAGTGATCTAAATAGACATACAAGCACAGTACATAATCGGAGCAAACCTTTTGAGTGTGAGATTTGTCACAAATCATTTGGAATAAAAGGTAACCTCACATCTCACATAAATTCAGTACATAATCAGAGCAAACCCTTTGAGTGTGAGATTTGTCACAAATCATTTGGACGAAACGATCACCTCACTAACCATGTAAATACAGTACATAATCGGAGAAAACCCTTTGAGTGTGAGATTTGTCACAAATCATTTGGACAAAAAGATAAGCTCACTAGACATGTAAATATAGTACATTTGCGGAGGAAACCCTTTGAGTGTGACATTTGTCAAAAATCATTTGCAGAAAAAGGTACCCTCACATTTCACATAAATTCAGTACATAATCAGAGCAAACCCTTTGAGTGTGAGATTTGTCACAAATCATTTGGACGAAAATTTCAGCTCACTAGACATGTAAATATAGTACATTTGCAGAGGAAACCCTTTGAATGTGACGTTTGTCAAAAATCATTTTCAGTAAAAGGTAACCTCACATCTCACATAAATTCAGTACATAATCAGAGCAAACCTTTTGAGTGTGAGATTTGTCACAAATCATTTGCAGAAAAAGGTACCCTCACATTTCACATAAATTCAGTACATAATCAGAGCAAACCCTTTGAGTGTGATACTTGTCACAAGTCATTTGGACAAAAAGGTTATCTCAAAATTCACATAAGTACAGTACATAATAAAATCAAACCCTTCGAGTGTGATATTTGTCACGAATCATTTGGATACCAGAGTGTACTCAAATATCACGTAAAATCAACTCATGAACGGAGAAAATTTGAATGTAAGACTTGTCACAAGTCATTTAGTACCGAGAAGCGTCTCGAAAATCACATTAATGCAGTACATATGGAAAGCAAATCTTAGAAATATGGAATTTATTTAAAATATCCGCTATGTAATTTTAGACAATCATTGTCATGAACAATGAAGCTTTTTAAACTGTTATTTATTTCGACGTGCCAGTACTGAAAGATGCTACTTCACTGAGCAGACAAGAAAAATGCCATGTCGCGCTCCGAGTAGAAAGATGTCATTTCCCGCTCGATTCTGAAGGATGGTTTTTTCTGCGTTCGAAGTTACACCATATTCATGTTTCATGTTTTAGAAGTAAAATTGGATGCTATTCCAGAATCTGTCGCTGGAATGAAAATAATAGTAAAGTTGAAGCTTCAAACGCAGAAATACCAAATGGTGAAGCGGCATCTTTCAGCCCTGGCACGTCGATTTGGTCGTCACTGTAAAAATCTTTTATTATTCTTTCAAACACGAATTAAAATATCAATACGGTTTCGCGTGAATTTGTTCTTTGATATACCGTTGTTTTCAAAAAACGAACTTTCAACATCCTATTTAATAGCTGAATTTTTTTTCCAAGTAACTGTTTATCAGAAAATCTGGAATTATTTTGACCGGCCTCCCAAAATCAATTATATATGTCAATTATATTATACCTCTGTGTATCGTATTCTTTGTTAATTGAATGACGAAAGATTTTTTTCAACTAAAATCGTATTCGACTCGTACTTATATTTGTTGGTAATTAAATCTAGGATAGAAATAAAATAAAGGAAGTTTCGAAATATAATACAAGTACCGACATAAATTATGAAAAACGTTTAATCAAAAAGAAAAATTATGTATGAGAAAAAATGTACAAATTTTTGAATCGTTCGATAAATTTTGGTCGACACATCTGCTGCTCAAACTTATTGTCAATTGTTTATTTTTATCATTAATACGTTGAAATAAAACCTACTTTGCATTTGATCACTTCATGTTTCATTGAAATCATTCGATAGCATTTGTTTGTACATTTCTCATTTGCCTATTATAGACATTTAAATACTTCCTATTTTAACATTTCACAATCTTAAATATTTAATTTTGTATTATTTTAAACGAGAGCCCGAACGATTCGATATGTATCGAATATTAACTCTCTCCCTTCCTCCTTCGTATTCGCGAGCGGCGCAGCTATATAACGTCGATCACGCGTCACGGTCATCCATCATCAAAGCCATACTTGGCTCCTCGCTAAGCTCATTTTTCAAACGCGCGCTCGACAAGCGGAAAAACTTGCCTCGGCTCCTCCTTCTCCCGTTTACACGTACACACACACATACACATGCGCACACGTTGAGATCGTCGGTATAAATATTCTTTTACGATTTGTTTCCTCCTCCTTCTCCTCCTCGCATCGAATAATCTCGAAATACATTTACGTAATGTAACTTTTCTCGAGCGAAATATGTTATATATGTAGCGGCCGAAAGTTCCGAAATTTACGCGCGCAAACTGCCGAGCATAATATAATATAATAATATAGCGAACAATAGTCTATACCAAAGTGAACAAATCATTGTGTTGCGCGTATAATGCCGCGCAGTATACGCGGAATTCATTCATTCGTTCGTTGAGAGAGTCG